CCCTCTCTCTCTGAGAGTCTGTCCCCTTTTCTTCTCCCCATCTCCCTTCATCTGTCACTATTCACTTTCTCCAGGCAGGTCATTCTGTTCCCAAACCATATCTTTGTCTGTCTCCAAGTCCTAGAATACCTTGAATTTCTCTTATCTGAAACTCAGGACAAGACCCTCTCCCCAGTCCCCACCCAGGAAATTCCAGCAGAGAGGACTTATGTGGGAGAGACCCCCGCATCTACCGTCTCCCCGGGCCTCGGGGCCTTATCACTCCCCGAGCCCAGCTGGTTAATGTCTGGCCTGGAACTCCTGAGAGACTCGGGGATGAGAGCAGAGGGTGGGAATCTGCCCGGGGATTGACACTGAACTGGCAAGAGAACGCAAAGGAATCTCAGGCCCAGACTCCTGGGTCTGCGGAGGGGGGTTTTGGGGTCTGGACTCTTGGGTTTGAGGGAGGAGGGGACTTGGGGGTCTGGACTCCTGGGTCTGAAGGAGGAGGGGTTTGGGGTCTGGACTCCTGGGTCTGCGGGAGGAGGCGGCTGGAGCTGAGGAAGAAGGGCTTGGGGGGGGGGGGCTGGTCCTAAGGAGGAGGAAGCTGGGGGCCCAGACTCCCGGCATCTGCGGGAGGAGGGGTGGGGGTCCGGACTCCCGTGTCCGCTGGGAGGAGGGGGCTGCGGACCCGGGCTCCCGAGTTTGAAGGGAGGGAGGTGGGGGCTGGCGCCTGGCCTCCTGGGACTGAGGCGGGCTGAGGGCTGAGCGAGCCAGGCCTGGCTTCCGAGGTCTCGGCACGCGTGTGGAAGGCGGGATCCCCCGGCCCCTCCTCCGCCGTCGGGCGCCGCCCCGCCCCCGCCCCCGACCCGGGCCCTCCGGAGCGTGTGCAGCGAGGAGCCGGCGGGCGAGCGGGCGTCCCTACAGCCAGCGAGCAGGAGGAGGAGCCGCCGCCGCGCCGGAGACGGCCGGGGGAGCCGAGGAGGGCGCCCCAGGTAAGCGCCTCCGCGCCTCCTCCCCCGGGATTCCGGCGTCCGGGTCGCCCGGCCCCCGGGTAGGGAGGGACGGGGGCGGGGCCGGCGGGGCGGGGCTTGGCGGAGGAAACTGAGGCAGGAGGGAAGCGTTTGAGACTGACAGTCCGCGACCCCCAGCGCGGTCTCAGGAGTCCCGACCACCAGGCTTAAACTTCCCGGGAGAGGAGGGGCCGGGGAGTCCGCGCTTCTGAGTGCCTGGGAAGGATGGGCTTGGACCCCAGAACTCTCGGGTCTGAAGGAGGATAGGACTGGCGGTCGGGACTTCTGGGTCCGAGGGAAGAGCGGTCTGGGGCTCCTGACTCCTGCCTCTGAGGGAGGCAGCTGGCGACCTGGGTTTCTGAAGGAGCAGAGAGCTAGGGCGCGGGGCTTTGGGGTCTGAGTGAGGAGAGGGCAAGAGCCTGGACTCCTGCAAAGGATGGAGTGGGGGCCGCTGGCACCCACGACTCCAGATCTGAGGGAGAAGGCACCTGGGAACCAGGACTCCCGGTCTGAGGGAGGAAGCAGCTGGGAACCCACCCTCCCGGCTCTGGCTGGGTCAGCATGTACACCTCTTCACGCTTTCCCCTTCTCACTTCCCCATCTCCCAGCCAGGGCAGGCAGCCACTCCAGGTATGTGCAGTAGACGTCTTGAACGGGCCCTGGCCTGTCCTGTGAGCAGAGAACATTCCAGGAAGCAGCCAGGGGGACCCAGGGCTTCTTAAGTGTGGGCCCTGGGGGACCCGGGTGTCCAGGCCAGCCCCGCCCCCGCCCCGTCTTCGAGATGAATGGGCTGAGGAGGATGTAATCTTTTCCAGCCTCCTTCATCCTCAGCCTCTCCCCTCCCCTCCCCTCTCCTCCCCCCATCTGCTTTCCATCCAGGAGCCATCACCTGGGCAGAGCAGGGGCCTCTGGGAGGGGCTGCAGCCTTGACTCTTGGTCCCCTACACTTTCAGAGGAACGCTGAGAAGTGGAGTGTTCAGGGGTTCAGGCCCCCTCCCCCACCTGCCTGTCTAACCTGCCTGTTCCCTTCTTCCCCTAGGTGGTTGCCCCCTCCCTCTCCTGAGATGTCAGGAAGGAGGGGGCCACCTGTGTCCCCAACAGGGGCCCCCCGGAGCCTGGGGGCCCCCAGCCCCAGAGCTCGGAGGTGGAGGAGGTGCTGACAGGTCCGGTAACCAGGCACTGCTTCTCAGTCTTTTCCCAGAACCCACAGGCTTCCAGAATGTTCTAGAGAAACTGCAGCTCCTATGCCCCCACCAGCATCTCCCAGCCCAGGCCCAATTTCATGGATAGGGAAACCAAAGCCTCACCTGGGAGGAAGTGTCTTACCTTCTTACAGGCAGTTTTAAGCTGAACTTGGGTCTCCCTGGAATTCCAGGGCATGACCTTTCTCAGAAATTTTGGAACTTCAAACCTCATCCAGGCTGCAGGACATAGGGTTCCTTGGGGTTGTAGAGGCAAGATGACAGAGTGGAGTTGCTAGGACATGTTTTGAGTCCCACCTCTGGCATTTGCTGGCTGTGTAGCCTGGTACAAGTTACTAGCCTCTCTGAGCCTATATTTCCCCCTTTATTGGCTATTATTAATACTCATAGTAGAATAATTATGATTAATCTAGTGGTTGGGCATTATCAAAGTCCTAAAGTATAGGAGTCCTCCAAGCTTCCAGAACCTGTGGTTCTGTCATGCAGATGCCCCTGGAGTCACCATGTGTCCCCCCATGAAGTTATCATCCTCCTAATTCCAGCTTCCTTCTGTCTATCCTCAGGTGCTCAGCGAGATGCTCCCCCACCCCTCAGGCTTCCTCCCCATCCTCCTGCTTTTCCTCCTCCCCAGTGTCCCCATGGAGCCCCACCCCCCACCCTCACCCCTGCCCCCATTTCCAGCCCCTGAGTGGGACCTCTTGTCCCCCCGGGTGGCCCTGTCCAGGGGTACTCCCACGGGGCCCCCTCTGCTCTTTCTGCTGGAGTCTGGGGCCTTTGGGGAGCCAGCCGGCAGCCCAGCTAACCGCAGCCGGCGAGGGGTGAGCGAGACAGCACCAGCCAGTCGCCGTGGAGAGCTGGCCGTGTGTGACGCAGTCAGCGGCTGGGTGACAGACCGCCGGACTGCTGTGGACCTGCGTGGGCGCGAGGTGGAGGTGCTGGGCGAGGTGCCAGCGGCTGGTGGCAGTCCCCTGCGCCAGTACTTCTTTGAAACCCGCTGCAAGGCTGCCAGTGCTGGGGAAGGTGGCCCTGGTGGGGGTGGAGGAGGCTGCCGGGGTGTGGACCGGAGGCACTGGGTGTCTGAGTGTAAGGCCAAGCAGTCCTACGTGCGGGCATTGACCACAGATGCCCAGGGCCGTGTGGGCTGGCGATGGATTCGAATTGACACCGCCTGTGTCTGCACGCTCCTCAGCCGGACTGGCCGGGCCTGAGAGCCAGGCCCAGGAACTGGGCAGGTAGAGGAAGAAGGAGCTGGATGCTGAAAGACCTCAGGAGTAGCCTGGCTGCTCTGGGCCTCAGTCTGGGAACTTGTCAAATGGTCACAAGAAAAATCACAATGCTCTGGTTTTGAGAGCTCATTCTGGGAAAGACAGATGGTGAAACCAAAGGGGGTTTTGAAAGATGAATAGGAGTTCTCCTGGATGAACTTGAGGGTAAAAATGATGACGATGATGATAATAGCCAATATTTTCTGAGTGTCTACTGTTTATGAACTCTAATACAACTTGTCAGATCAACTCTGGTGGATTTGACCATTGGAGTTCCTCAGCTTCTAAGCTGCTGACCAGGTGATCTCAAAGGACATCACCTCGTCCAACCTGAAGAGAGTGACAAGGAGGGGATACTTGGGGGGATTATAAAACTGTGTGTGGGGGGTTATAAAAACTGGAACATGTAGGCAAATAGTTGGGAGCTGGGGTTCAACAAGAAACCTTATTTGGTCAGATTGGGCAAGTGCTTAGAGTGCTCTGTTTTGAGATAGTGAGCTATCTATGACAGGAGTACAAGCAAGGTTGAATGACCAGAGGTAAGGATGCTTAAGATTTTGGCCTTGGTGGGGAGTTGGAGTCAGGCTTCCATCCCCTTCCCTGTCCCAGCTTTTGCAATATACTCAGAAAGAAATAGACCTTATCATTGTCCAGCTTGAGTAGGACATGAGGTTTTGACCAATTGACCTGCCCCCTGGCTGAGATCAGGGGAGATTTGGATGCTGATCCGTCTAGAATGAGCCAGGAAAATCCAATAGGATAAGTGGCCCCAGAAGCCTGAATGAGGGGGTCTGTGGAATCCTGGGGCAGCCGCAGAAGTCAGCCTCAATTTCCCCTGTCTGAAGAACGGGTTGGTGGGAAGAGAATGGGGAGGAGAGGCAGAGGCTTTGATCAAAAGGGTTTTATTTATTTTTTTTTTCAAAAGGGTTTTAAAGTGAGGGACAGACAAGAGAACTCAGAGGTAGACCCCCACACCCTGAGAACACCCATTCATATATTACCACTCTGTAGCCACACACATGTGCACACTCGCACACATGCATTTTTGCCTTTGTTTCTACATCTTGTGTTCTAGGTCTGTAGTTCCCGCTCTCTTCTGCCACCTCCTCTGCTGTTGCTGTCTAAATTCTTGTCCCATAATCTCTGGGTCACTAGCTCTCTTTCTGTCCCTGCTTCTCACTCGCTGTCTCTCACTCACTCTTGTATGTATTTTTCTCATTCATCAAAACTCTTTCCACATCCCCCTCTTTATTGCTAAGTATTTCCCTCTGGGTCCCTCCGTCTTTGCCCACCCCCATACCCAGGTGGAAGTTTTCAACCAAATCAAAGGCAGGCAGGACAGAAGAAGTCGAAGCTGATGCTGACTCCTTCAGCACACACAGCGAGGGAGGGCGAGCCCCGGGGAAGTCTGGAAATCGTTACCCACCCCCTCACCCCCATCCCCCCTCTGCCGCTGGAGGTGGGCTGTCCTGGCAGAGGAAGGAGGTAGCTAAGAAGGCTAGGACCTTATAGGAAAGGGGGGGGGCGGTGTTTCTCGTGGATTCCCTGATGTGCTAGGTGACCCTGTCCTCCTTCCACTCTGTTTCTCTATTTCAGGGTCTCTGACACGCCCCCAGGTCTCAACCCCTCGCTCTCTGCTGTCCGGTCTCTGGGTCTCAGATTCTAAACTCTGAATTTCTATTCCCCTCCCTCCCCCCGCTTCCTACCCTCCTCTCCTTCTGGGTCTCCCTCCACCATTTTTCTGAGCTTTTGTCCCCTTGGGGACTCTGCACTCTCTCAAAAGTCCTGTTCCTCCATGCCTGGGTCTCTTACTCTATCCATCCAGCCACACACTAATAGGCCCTCCATTGGCTGCCTTCAGGGTGGGCGGGTTCTGTCACCCGGGGCGACAGCAACAACAAGCCTGCTCCTGCTAGGCTACGGGGCAGGGGTGGGACCATGGCGGGTCGGACCCTAGCTCTGCGGTATGGTCCCCCATGGTCCCCCATCTCTGGAACCGAGGTGCCCAACTGGCATCTCACCAGCAGTGGCGTCGCCCACCACTTTATCCCGCCCGTGTCCTTCCCCCCGCCCACTGTGCAGGTGAGAGGACCCTAGCCTCTTGGCTAAGAGGAGCCTGGGGATCCAGACACTTGCTGGATTTGGGTGATTTGGGGCTTCGACTCCTGTCTGACTGAAGGAGGAGGGTCTCAGGGTCTGGGGCCGAGAGAGGAGGCGCCAGCGAACCCGGATGCCTGGAACTGGCGGGAGGAAGGGCTGGGAGCTGACCAGATTCCTGAGTCCTTTCAGCTGACGGCCCGCACCTTCTGCTCAGTCCACGGTCGCGGAGCCCCTGCCCCCAGCCGCAAAGCAGGATTTGCATGTCTGGGCTTTCGACGAGGTCATCAGCAGATGGGAAACAACCTCGGGCTCAGCTCTCGTGCCTAAGACCCACGGAGGACCCTACGCACAGCCCAAGGCCCCAGAACCTGCGAACCCCACCCGGACTGTGGGGATCAAGGATTTAGGGGAAAAAGTAAGGTTCCTGGATGCCCAGGTCCGGGGTAGACAGGGCCGGGGGCTGCACTGGAATGCCGTGCACCCTCACGCTGGGTCCCCGCCTCGCCTTCTCTCAGCTCAGACACCGCGGCTGGCGCCTCCCTCTGATCACCAAGCACCAGTGCAGTGAGACGAAGGCGCAGTACGGCTGCTGGCCCGACCTGGACCGGGGCCCCACCTCCTACTTCGGGCCCCAACCCCTAGAGCTTGCAGACCACCACCGAGGGGGCCCTTCCCAGGTAGCGGAGAACCGCAGTGGCAGGATCTGGCAGAACTTTGAGTGCCTGCGGCGGGGGGAGGGAGCTCAGAAGCTAGGAACCGGGCTGAGACCCTAGCGCCGGGTCAGAAGAAATTCTAAGTCCAGGGGCGCAAGAATGGGACCGAATCTGAAGTTGCATAGACTAGGGGAGGGGGTTGGCACTGTACAAGCGGAGCCAGGAGGAGGCGGGGACTGGAAACCCGAAAGCCCAGCTCTGAGGCGGGTCTAGTAAATCCTGGGGCGGGCCTAGGAGCTAGGGGCGGAGCTACGCAGCCTAAAGTACTCGTGGGCGGAGCTCGAATATTCTGAGGCGGGTTTGGTACCGGAGAAATGGCTGGCTTCTCCTCTTAGGGTAAAGTAAGGAGGAATGGTTTCTGCTGAATTCCAGCGGCGGGACCAATCTAGGGGAGGAGCCAGGGAGGTCTTTCAGTGACTGGGGACTTGGCGGGCAGAATACTTGGATTTTGGAGGTGAGGCTAGTAAGGATTTTGACCTGGGGCGCGAAGTTGAAGTGCACTAACGTGCAATTGACCAAGGATTCTGATTCTGGGGGCGGGTGTCAGGGCCTGGTTCAGAGGGTCTGTTGAGACCCAACAAAGAGGAATTCTCAGTCTGGCACCCAGGGCATGGAACGGGTTATGAAAGTTTTCTTGCTCATTCCTCCTCCCCCGATCTTCCTCAGGCTCTAATCCCTTGGACCAAGAACCCCGAGCTGGCCGGCCTCACAATTTCTGACCGGGGCATACTGGACCGCCATCAGCTCTATCTGACCACGTCGGCCCGGGACTTTCGGCCCTATTCGAAGTGAGCCTGGGTCCTCGCTTGACCCCGTCCCCCTGCACAACCCCCGCAGAGGCTGGTGGGACGCCGAGCCCCCCAGTGCTGACTGCCCCTCTCTGACTCAGTAGTCTCGGCCTTCAGTCCCTGCGCGGGCAAGAACCAGAAATTCAGACCCAGCCCTTACCTCTTTTAGCGCTCTGGTTCACTTAGTGTCAACTCTCAGGAACAAGGAGCCCGCAAAGGGCCCAAGAGGGAGTTCCGGATCTGAGGGCATGGCCCTGAGGGTCTAAGGCCGGCCTCTTTGGGGTTTGAGTCCCCAGATAATTCCCTAGTCCCAAGCCTCCTAAAGGGTCCCAGACTCCTACAAATGTGTCCTCGAGGATCCAGCTGTGCCTTCCCCATCCTGCCTCTACCCCAACCCAACAGGAAGGAGTTGTCAAGCTATCCTAGCAAGGATTCGATGACCTCAAACTTCGGGGAGACGCCCCAGGCCGGCGGCCACAGCCAGAAGCAGCTGCCCTGTCCGTCCTCCTCTCGGCCACCCCAGCCGCCGAAAATCCGCTTGTCTCGCGGCCGCCCAGAGATGCCCGTCGTGCCGCACCGCGGGGCGCTGACTCTGGCTCAGGAATCCTACAACCTCCCGCTGCACCCACTCCGCCGGCTGGACCGTTTCTGCCCGCTGGAGCTGCCCTGGGGCGGCCCCCACTGGAAGCCCGTGTCAGGCATCTACAGTGTGCCTCATGCCTACCGCACCGAGAACTCCAACTACGGCAGCTTGAAGCCAGCGTTGGTCTGAATCAGACCAGCCAGCCCCGCCCTGGACACGCCCCCGAGACGAGGCGGGGCCAAGCCTGGAAGACGCGACTAGGGGCTCACTGGGCGGTGCTAGGAGGGCCCCGCCCATCTGAGGGCGAGCCGGATCTTGGCCCTTGGGCGGGGAGAATCTTTAACATTCACTCAATTGCGGGGGTGGGACTGAGCCTGGAAAATGTACCTTGAGGTTGTTAAGACAAGTCTTCTGCAGCCGAAGGGGCACAGCTTATCTTACTCGATGAGTTAAAGAGCCTAAGTCACGCCCTTTGCTGGGTTTGGTTCCGGCATCCTGGCTTTTGGGGCCCGAGTGTGGGGCAGGTGGGATTCCCGCTGAATCCTTTTTGGAGGGGCGGTGCGAGTGGACCCCCACTACCTCTAGCCACAGAATCCGATACTGAAGCTACGCCCCTCCTAAGTCGGGCTCAGGCTTTGGCCGGAGGAGCAGGGTTGAAGCTGCAGCCAATCACCATCGGAGAATTGTCAGAGGGGCGGTGCTGCAGCCTCTGCCGGGTCCCCTCGTGACGGGTAGAGGCGCTCGCAAGGCAAGCGGCACAGCTGAGGGCCTACAGTATCTGATTTCTTGTACTCCCACCACGACCTCCCTAGCACCTGGGGATTGAGTCTCGCGAAGTCACCTTCTCCTTGGTGTCTTCTGCTTCATGGTGCGGGAGCCACTCAGGGAGTGGGGGGAGGGGTGCGCCATGGAGCCACTCTTGCCTCTCCCTGACCTTGTCTGCCTCTCGCCCCCGGGGAGATTAGTGTCCAGGTTACCCCGCCATGCTGCCACCCCCGGTGGCCTTGCCGCCCCCACAGCCTGCAGGTATAAGACCAGGTAAACACAGCAGGGGAGGCACCAAGGATGGAGATGCTCCAGGTAAGGCTGTAGGGCCCCTTGCCACTCCATCCAGGCCACAGCTGGCAGGAAGCGGGAGTCCGGGGACCTGGTGAAGGAGGCCTCTTTCTAGAAGGGTGTGGGGAGAACAGTAGGCCTGCCGGCAGGAGGAGGACACCAGGTGGGGCCTGAGGTCTTGGGGTGTCTGGGGTCCCTGGGGATGGGAAGTCCTTGAATGGAAGGTGGCAGGCACAGGAGCTGGGTCCCTGAACATGTGTATGCAGGGCTCGGGGGGTGGGGTGAGGGCTCTGGCTGGGCCTGAGGCACTGGCCTTGTCCCAGGGGCTGCTGCTGTGGCTGCTGCTGGGCGTGGCCGGGGTGTGGGCTTCCAGGGGGCCACTGCGGCCGCTGTGTCAGCCCATCAACGCCACCCTGGCGGCTGAGAAGGAGGCCTGCCCTGTCTGCATCACTTTCACCACCAGCATCTGCGCCGGCTACTGCCCCAGCATGGTGAGCTGCTGAGGGCGGGCGGGTGCCACCACGTCAACTCCAGGCAGATTACTCGGGGCCAGGCCCATAGAAGACCAGAAGTGGCACTGGGGGTGGAAGGGTGGCCTGCTGCCTGGGGAATGGGCTGGGCAGGTGGGAGGGAGAGCACAGAGGATCCCCTGGACACCTGAGTCTGGGATCTGTGGGGTGCAGTGGGGGAGCTCGGGGGAGAGCTTGGCCCCACGGAGACACTCAAGCTCCCCGCCCTCCAGAAGCGGGTGCTGCCTGCCATCCTGCCGCCCATGCCCCAGCGGGTGTGCACCTACCACGAGCTGCACTTCGCCTCCGTTCGGCTCCCCGGCTGCCCACCTGGCGTGGACCCAATGGTCTCCTTCCCCGTGGCCCTCAGCTGTCACTGTGGGCCCTGCCGCCTCAGCAGCACTGACTGCGGGGGTCCTAGAACCCAACCCTTGGCCTGTGACCACCCCCCACTCCCAGACATCCTCTTCCTCTAAGGATGCCCCACTTCAACCTCCCATGCCTCCTAACTCCCGGAGCCAGCAGACGCTCCTCCCCTCCCTTCCCAATAAAGACTCGTCAAACTGCACTCCAGGGTTGTCTTTCTAGGGGCTCGGGTGTGTGCACCCATTTGTGCGCGCGCATGCGCGCACACACACACACACACACACACACACGATGGGTCCAGTTTCAGAACCATTTTATACAAAGTCACAGTGTCAGAACTCTAGTAGAAAACAGGGGTGGGGGTGAGGGGGAAAGGTGATCAGCTCAGGAGGTGTCCATGGTTTCACCTTCTGTGGGGAGAAGGAAAGCCACGTGGTCAGAGCAGCCCAGCAGGCAGGGCCAGGGCTCCCTCCTCCCTCTCCGGGGCAGGCATGATGGGGATACTCACTGAGCTCGTTGAAGAGGAAGGCATCTTGGTATTCCTTCATGTACTGCGTGGAGCGAGACTCGTCCAGGAAGAGCGAGTAGACCCGTTTGATGTCGTCCACCTGCACCTCGGTGCCCTGATGGGGGACACGAGACCTCAGGGGGGCCCCACGCAGGGGCCAGGTCACGTCCTGCCATGGCTGCCTCCTGGCTGTGGGCCCCACCACTCCATCCCTCAGTTTTTTCATCTGTAAAATGGACTTAACAGCATCAACAGGCAGCCAACAGATATTCACCCAGCACCTCCCATATGTCAGGCTGGGAGCCACAGAAATACACCCAAGGGCCTGAAGTTCCCTGCCTTCAAAAACTTTTAAGTTCTGGAACTAAATGCAACCGCCCAGGGAAAGCCCTGGGAGTGGCGTGTGGACCGCTCACTCCTCTGATGCTGGGTGAACTCGGCGGCTCACCTTGCGTTTCCGGCACACCAGGCTAGCAGCCGTGATGAGCTGGATGGCATAGCGCAGTGAGGTCTCCAGCCCGATGCGGGTCAGCACCGTGTAGGCATCCTCGCTCATCTCCACGTCTTCCTCCTCGCACCTGCGGGCAGGGAGGGGCGGGGGTGTTCAGCCAGGGACCGAGCCATGAGGAGTTAGAATCCTCGGAAGCCCAGAACGCGGAGTGAGAAGGGCCACCGAGGCAGGAGCTGGACCTCAACCTCGGGCCTCCTGAGCCTCCCCCTTTCAGGGCTCTTTCCCCTGTGCCAGGCACCTGTCCAAAGAGCCCCACCCACCCATCAGAGGCCACAGCTCGGATGCCCCGCCCAGCCCTGCTTCTGGCAGGCGTGACCTCCCCCGCAGGCCCCACGCATCAAGCAGGGTGGACACCAGCCCCTCTGGCTGGCAGCCTGGTCCTGCCCGGGAGGTGGGGCCCCGCCCGCACCGGATGCGAAGGATCTGCTTTGTGTCCTTCTCGCTGTAGGGGGAGGTGGAGACGATGAGCAGCCGGTCCAGCAGGTCGATGGGGATGCCGTGGGGGCTCTGGTAGCTGGTGCCCCGGATCCTGGGGAGGAGGAGGAAGGGAGGGCCATCAGGGTGACACCCCTAGAACCAGGCCCTCCTTTCTCTACACTCAGAACACCCCACTCCACCCACCCCCTCACCACAGACCACTCACTGGGCCAAATACCGCTGAGCCTTCAGCTTCGGGTTGGCGTCACCGCACCCTAACTGCATCGCTCCCCCTTCGCAGCCAGGCTGGTCTGAGCTAGAGATCTAGGTCTTGGATTACTGCATCAAGGTCCCACTCCTCTGCTGGACCCAGAGCTCCACAAGGGAGGGACTGGGCCCACCCTATACCCCCACTGCACCTGGCCCAGCACAAGGTCAGGCACGTGGCCGGCACCAGGAAAGAGCAGATTCGTTATGTGTGGGAGCTGTGATCTATAACTTGGGGGCAATCACTCAATTAGCAAGTACTGAACCACTGCCCCTGCAGGAAACAGTAACACATGGCTAGGCTCTTGACAGCCTCTGTCACAATGTTTGGCCACCAGATAGCCTGGTTTCAGGTGTTTCTGTTTAAAGACACCCAATTCAGTATATATTATTGACTTTTCATGCTGAACTCATGCCCATAGCCTCTGAACTTGTCCCTGACGGATGCTATCTAACACGTGTTTTCTCCATACAGCCCATCCCTGCTGTGCTCAGAGACATCCGACAGCTGGGGGACACTTTATGATTTATTTTAATTTTCTGGCTGCTCCACACAACATGTGGAATCCTAGTTTCCCAATCAGGGATCGAACCCTTGCTCCCTGCTTTGGAAGTATGGACTCCTAACCACTTGACTGCCAGCGAAGTCCCCTAGGGGCCATTTTAAAGTGCAAAATCATCAGGAACAAAGAGCATACAGTGACGCCAGTGGCAACAAGCAGATAAAGAAAAGGACGCCTGATTATAGCATGTGAGCTGAAACTAGGAGGCGGAGCATCACCTGCTTTGACCCTCGCCTGGACTGTCTGCCATGGGCCATTCAATTTTTCCCTGCTCTGTACACATCTGTGAATGATGGCCAAAGTGTGGCAAATATCGATTTGGGGGCTACAGATCATCTGTAGCAAGTAAGCAGAATCACAAATATGGAAGATATCTGCAGAATAATGAGGAGTGACTGGGTTTGCAGCCTCTCACAAGTGACGCCCCTGATCCCATGGCCTGACCTTTAGCTGCTACAAACATGCTCATTTGGATACCAAATTCCAGCCCTGCTGCTTTCCACATGTAACTGTGGGGAAGTCACTGGGTCTAGCTGTCCCCCATCTTGAAAACAGGGCTGAGGGAACTCCTTGGTGGTCCAGTGGTTACAACTCCGTGCTTCCACTGCAGGGGGCACAGGTTTGAATCCTGGTTGGGAAACTAAGATGTGGCAAGCCATGTAGCATGGCCAAAAAATAAAATTAGTAAGATAAGGGGCTTCCCTGGTGGTTCAGTGATTAAGACTCCAAGCTTCCAACGCAGGGGGCGCAGGTTAGATCCCTGGTTGGTGAACTAAGATCCCACAGGCCCTGCAGTATGTGTTTTGCAGGGAGAGAACGGAACGGAATGGGGCTGAGATGATATCTAGCACCTGAGCTCCTTTTGAGGAAATGCTGAGCCAAGAGCCAGGGACAACCTGCCCATTATCCCTGGTAGTCGCACCCTTTCTTCCCTGTGCTTCAGCTGGCACAAGTCTGCAATCATGCAACTGAGCAGCCCGGGCAATGAGTCCAGGTGGCCGTGCTGGGTGCAGCCTTCAGGGCCCCAGCTCTCGTGAGCTCTCTGCCCCACTTCCTTCTCCCTTCCTGTAGACTTTTGAAGATGAGGCGAGGAAGAGCCAGCAGGGAGAACCGGGCACAGCAAAACCCCACGGCAGAGGCTCCCAAGCTTTACGTTGTCTGGTACCCTTCCTGCCTCAGGGATTTTTCCACTGTATCCTTAGGTCAAGAGAAAATACCAAGTTCTGTTCCCTTTATTTCTATGCATCAGCGAGGTACGAGTGACTTGCTCCCTGTTCTCCCAGGGCCTTCTCAGGGGCCGGCGGGGGCTCACCGGGTGATGCCGCGGTTGGTAGCCATGATAAGGACAGGCGCCATGTCACTCTCCAGGGCCCGGTTGAGGAAGGAGAAGCTCTCAATGTCCAGCATGTGGACCTCGTCGATGAACAGCACCTGCGGACCATTGGGCGGGTGTCACACCCACCTCCCACATCCCTCTTCTCCCGCGCCCCCCAACCTGGCCTGGCCCGGGTACTCACGCCGGGGATGATCTCCGCCTTGCCCTCCTCCCGCCACTCGGCCACCTTGGCGTTGATCTGCTCTCGGACTTCAGACTTGATCTCCCCTGTGTCGCCTGTGGGAGGCGGGGTGGGGGTGGGGGGACAGGGTGTCAGAGAGGAGACACGGATCCAGGGCCGGGGGTGGGGGAGGGCGATGGACAAAGGCAGAGAGAGACGGGACGCTGGGGACACAGAGACCGAGCTGGAGTGGTGACATGACAGCGGCCACGGAGCCAGAGACGTCCCGGAGAGGCAACAGATGGGGAGAGATAAGCAAACCACAGGTGGAGAGAGAGACGGGACGCCGGGGACACAGAGACCGAGCTGGAGTGGTGACATGACAGCGGCCAGGGAGCCAGAGACGTCCCGGAGAGGCAATAGACGGGGAGATGGGACGGATGGGCCTCACCTGAGAAGAGCGCCAGGAAGCCCTGAGTGCGGGAGTTGATGACGTCGATCTCATGGAGGGACACCGTGTGCACCACCTCCTTGCGTTTCTGCAGCTCCCCATCTGGGCACTGCACGAACTTGGTCTATGGGGCCGGGGCAAGGTGCAGGGTAAACAAGGGCGGAAAAGAGCATGAAGCGGGGGCCCCGGGGGGCTGTCGAGACAGGCTCCCCAGAATGGAGCTAGGAATCCAGATGGGGGTTATGCAGAAACCCCACGCCTGAGGGGTAAAGACTCGGGCAGTCCAGAGCACTGGACAGGGGTTCCTGGAGGACCTGGAAACCAAGAAGCTGAGCGTCCCTGGCAGTCCTGGAGGGTACGGGGAAGCACCAGGAGGGCCAGGGACACAGGGCTGGGGTGACAGGAGGATCCAGACCCTGTGGGCGTTGGGGGATGGGGGAGAGAAAAACATGCTGGTGCCTCAGTGAGGGGACCCAGGAGCCCTGCCCACCTGGGAGCCCATGGCATCATAGTCACGAGCACGTGTGAAGGAGCGTCCCAGCTTGGAGATCTTGCCTGTGGCCTTGTCGATGGTGATCACGTCCCTGCGAGGGAAGGAGGGCAGGGGTGAGGACAGGAAGAGCTAGAGGCCCCCTACCCTGGCCACCGGGTGTGGCCCCCACTGCTCACCCGGCCTGGACCTTGTCCTTGGTCAGGGACTCGATCATCTTGGTGCCCAGGTCATATATGGTCTCCATCTCTGTGGTCTTGAGGGTCAGCTTGCCCACTTTGGAGCCCTGAGGGGTGACAGGTAAGGGGTTTAGAGGGGGCCCTGATGTCTCCCCAGCACAGCTTCAGAACCAGCATGACATGGGGCAGTGCTGGGGGCTTGATGAAGATATCCACTGTCACAGCCTCGGTGACAGCTTTGTGTATGTCAAAACCTAAAATCCTGAAAACTTTCTAGGGCTTGGCTTATTGGAGGTCAGTTGCACCTTAATAAAGTTGTTATTAAAAATCCAGTAAAGGGGACTTGCTGGCAGTCCAGTGGATAAGACTCTGTACTCTTAACGCAGGGGGCCCAGGTTCAAACCCTGGTCAGGGAACTAGATCCCATATGCCACAACTAAGACCTGGCTCAGCCTAAATAAATAAATTAAAACCAGTAAAGGAACAAACAGGGACTTCCCTGGTGGTCCAGTGGTTAAAACTCCACAATTTCCATGCAGGAGGTGTGGGTCTGATCCCTGGTTGAGGAACTGAGACCTCACATGCCATGAGCACTGCCCCCCTGCCCCCCAAAGAGAAACAAACAAAAACCTAAAAGAGGAAATCTGTAAAAACAACAGGTACCTGAGGTCCCACTGAAGGGTCAAGGGGGGGGGAGTCCCACTCTAACATTTGTTTTTCATACCCAAATAAAAGGTGGTCCGTTGTTAACCTCAAACCCAGAAGAACACAGCTAAGACAACAAAAATCCCCAAGAGATAAGCTAGGAAAACAAAAATGCCACACACCCTCCCCACCAGATAAGCTAAGAAAACAAAATGTCACACCCCCCCCACAGGATAAACAGTCACCAAGTCTGGGCTTTTTTCAGCAAGTCCTGTCTCACCTGTTTCCTGGAGTTGTTTCCATAGCGAGATGCTGCTCCCTTTGTAGGGACAGGTGGCAGGTGGGTTTGGGGAGGGAGTTAAAGGGAGTTTTGGTTGTTCATTTTCAGTTTTTCTTTTTGGCTGTGCTGGGTCTTGGCTAGGGCATGTGGATTTTAATTCCCTGACCAGGGATCAAACCCAGGCCCCCTGCATTGGAAGCACAGAGTCCCAGCCACTGGACCACCAGGGAAGTCCCTGGTTGTTCATTTTGATGAGGATACATCCATGGATTTCTTCTGTAATCTCTTTAAACTCTAATTGAAAGAACTATCTGGGGAATAGCTTTCCCTATACTTAAAGAGTCTTCTATCATGTTTTTTTTTTTACCATGTTTTTAAAATTCAAAATTTAATTGCCAATAGATAAGACTAACTTAGGAGGCTGTTACAAGTACTAAAAGTGCAAGTTGACCGCAATTATTCACTTTAAGTCTATTTCCACTGAAAATGAGAAGCAAATGAAAAAAGAGGAGAGTGTTCCTACAAGACACAGAAATGGAAGGTAGGACTATGCATCAGTTCAATGGATTTGAAGCAATTTTAGATTTGCTTTTATTTAGCATTTTATTAACACCTGTAACTTAATATTTAACAGAGAACTACAAACACGCATGAACCTCGAAGACATACACAAACAGTCATATATTGTCGGATTCCATCGGAGGCAAATCCATTAAGACAGGAAGTAGATTTGTGGTTGCCAGGGACTGCAGGTGGGGTGGGAGGGGAGGAGGAGCGACTCTGAAAGGGTTGATGGTTAGTTTATGTTATGTGATTTTATGTTGGTGAAAACAAGAGACCTACAGAAAAACTGTTAAGACAAAGAGAGATAAGAGATGAAGGGGAAACCAGACTATGATAGAAGACTTAAAAGACATGAAGTTTTTTAAATGGGTAATCTTGGAATACACAGTTGGGGGATAAAAGCTAACGAAACTCAAACAGGTGAGGGCGGCTATTTCTAAGAGGTATTGCAGAAAGAGGCAGAAGGAAGGGGCAGGGGTGGGGGTGCTGGCTAAGTTTTAGGGTTTTTTTAAATCTTTTTTATAGATTTTTTTTTTTTTGGATGTGGACCATTTTTAAAGTCCTTATTGAATTTGTTACAATACTGCTTCTGCTTTGTCTTGGTTTTATGGCTGAGCGGCATGTGGGATCTTAGCTCCCTGACCAGGGATTGAATCTGTGGTGGAATTGTGGAGTCCCAACCACCGGACCACTGGCAAAGTCCTGTTAATTAATTCTTACTGGAGTACAATTGAGGTACTAGGATTTATAAATCCAACGGGTCTGTAAGCCTAACTATTAGGAATTAACTGTGAGAAACTTCAAGACCTCCTCTGTCATTCCATTGCTTGGTTTGTTTTTTTTTTTTAAGTATAGTTGATTTACAATATTGTGTTAATTTCTGCCGTACTGCAATGTGATTCAGTTAGACATATGTATGTTCTTCTCCATATCCTTTTCCATTGTTCTACCACTGAGCTCACAGCGCCCCTCACAAATGGACAAACCGCTATCAATTCAACCGACCCTCTCTTGCCGACATATGGATGACTCTAAGCTGCATCTTGAACCTTCCATGGGATTCTGACCTCAGTGCAGACCCAGCACCCTCACCCTCCAGCCCTTGGAGTAGCCTAGACTCGGGAGCAGACTCACCGTCCCCGTGGCCGGCCGATCAATCTGGATCTCTACCACCTCCCCTTCGATGATCTCGGTCTCCTCCCTGGCCAGAGAACAGATCTAAGGAGATAGCCCGTGGCCTGGGCCCTCAGGAACTGCTCACCCCTGTGGGCCCCTGGGCGCAGAACGAGCTGGCATCCCTCAGAGGGCATCCCGAGGCTGCTGGGAGCTACCATCACTCCTGCTTACTTGATGCGCACGCCGATGGAGCGCCGGAAGGCCTGGGTCAGCGCCTCTGTCTTGCTCATCTCCAGGGAGAAGATCTCACTGCCTGCGATGGCTGTGAACGGGGTGTCGGGGCCCAGGGCCTGTGCCATGCCTGAGGAGGAGGGGAGGCAGTTTGGGAAGGTGGTCCAGGCACCAGGTCCCCAACCAGCTCTTCTCCTTCTTCAGACAGGAGGAGCAGAAGAGAGGGGCTGGGTGCTGTGGGGCAGACAGGGAGACCTGGAGAAAGCGAGCGATGGAGGGCCATGTTGGGAGGCCCTGGGTTGGAACCCCATGCTGCCCAGACCATAAACTTTACAACTCTACAATCATGCTGGACCTGCCTCCCAATCTCTAAGAGCTATTTAGCCTCAGGGCTTGGGGGAGATGAGCAAGGGTGGAGGCAAGGGGCTGATAGAGAAGGTTAAGAGAGACTGCGGAGGTCCGAATCCCGGCTTCAATGCTTAGCACCAAGTTTTCCTAAGAAGCCTAGGCTGCTCCCCAAGCCAGCCTGCCCCTCTGGTTAATGGGAACCATAAATAACAAGCGCTGGAAGGGGACAACATAGCTGAATAGGTGCGATGATGAGGGCGGGCAGGCATGCCCTGGTGCTCAACGGCGACCCTGACACGTGACCTGGAGCCAGCACAGGGAAGGGCCTCCTCTATGGTCTGGGGTCAGCTGGCAGACAGCGGGCAGTTCCTGCCATCACTCCAAGCTCCGGGCCTCTCTGCCGGCTCCCCTTCCTGAGGCTCTGCCCAGCTCTCAGCCAAGTCTCCCAGACAGGAAGTCATTGAACCCTCCTGAGCAGTGCGAGCTGGCAACTGTCCCTGGTCCCCTTTCCAGAGGCATGCCACACTCTGCACCTGGGTATCGTGCTCCCTACTGTCTGTCCAGGAGACTCCCAGACTTCCGGAGTCTCAGTTCCGGTACTAACTCGCCTGGGATGTCCCTCCTGACAGCTGCCACCCCATTCTCTCCCATCGCCCTTCATCGGAGGAGAAGCCGCCTCTGCTCTTTACACGGACGGGACTGTGTCCATGAACACCTGCCCCAGGCTGGAAGCCCCTCATAGTCAGGACTTTGGTCTTAATCATCTTGGTGTTCCCAAATATGAGTGTTACTTTTTCTTAACTGAGGACCTAGCTGTTACCTTGAGTCTCACTGCCCGGCCCCACAGTCCAGGCACAAAGGTGAGAGTAGTGGGGAGACAGAAGAGTCCAGTAAACCTTCAACGAGGACAAGATGTTGCGGTTTTGAAGGATAGATAAGAGCTCAAGACGGATAAGGGACAGTTGTGAGTAAAAAGCTCTTAAATCACTAATGGATTGCAAAAGAGACTGCTGGTTGTCTACACAATGCTCATCTTCCTTTGTTCCAGAACACCCATTTCACTAAGGTAGCAGTGGTCCCAATTAAAATATAAAAAAAAGTTTTAATATCTCTCTCTCTCCTGTGCAGTAGAGTGTGGTCATTAAACTCTAGTCAATAAAATATAAGCAACAGAATGTGGGTACCCTGAGACAGCTGCTTAAAAGGAGCTACCTCTAGGAGATACACCCTCATTGCAATTCCTTTCTTCTTTTTCTTCTTCTTCTTCTATGCAGTATGGGTGGGATGGCTGGAGCATAGGCCACCTTCTTGCAACCTAAGGTGTCCCTGACATGGAAGCAAGTGATCTTGAGGCAAGACGGTAGAAGCCCTCATAGGACTGCTCAACAAGCCTGAATTGGCCTATGTTCAGATTCTTCTATGTGACAAAACAAACCCTTAGTGTTTAAGCCCCTGCCATTTTGTGCTGTCAGACATGGCTGAACCTGACCCTGACTTACATGGGAGGATCATCCGGTGAGGCCAAAAGAGCTACTGCCTGGAGAAGTGCCTTACCCATGGCAATGGCTGTCTTCCCAGTACCCGGCTGGCCAGCGATGAGAACCGCCCGGCCAGCGATCTTCCCTTCTCGGATCATCTCCAGCACCACACCGGCTGCCCTCCGAGCCGCCAACTGGCCCACCATGCCCTGGGAAGCCTGGGGGTAGGAGGTGACAGAACATATAAGGAAGGTGACTTGCTACTGAGCTGCTACTGCATTTCTACCACCTTCAGGCCCAAACTACTGGCTGGGACTTCAGAAAAAAAGGCTTTTCCCCATCCCCATCTTTTAGAGACCTACGTGTGGCTGAATTTTATAAATACAGCACAGCTGAAGATCTGGAAGATCATAACACAGTCCCTGCATTCCCCAGGGCCCTGGGTCCCCTCCACCTGAGGCCTCCCTAGAGAAGCCTTCCCACCCCAACCCCCTGGGCTCTACCTGCCGTGGCTCCAAGGCATCGTCAAGTCCCAGCCCCCGGATATGGGAGTGAGCGCCTGCGTCCGGAGAAAGAACCAGAAGACATGGTTACCTGCCAGCTCCTGTCGATGCATGGTGTGAGGGACTGGGGCCTGGCAATGGTCCACCCCACCCCTGGGCATCTGATCTGCTCTGGAACTCAGGATCCTTCCTGCTTAGATGGGGGGAGAGATGGGGGATGGTGTGCGGGACTTCCCCTTCTTAGGGGTCCTGGATAGGTGGGCTAGGTCAAGGGCACAGGGGCCAGGCAGACACTAGGGCCCGTTCTGGATCCATGCTCACTCACCAATACGTTCAATCCGTGTCACATCACGAATCTCTGGAACCTTGGTTGTGGCTGTCTGGGGTTGGAGAAGAGGCAACAGTACAGACTTTGTGGTCCTAGCTGTCCCTCCTGCCCCCCTCCCATGAAACAGTCCTTTTCTCTCCTCCCCAGAGGTAGGCTGGCAGCCCAAACACCAGACCCTCCTTGGCAATCACCCACTGAGGCTGGTGGGTTGACCCCATGACACTGATAGTCCCAGCTCTCTGTCACTGGGTCTCTGCATGTGCAGGTCCCTGGGTCCTGCTCTCCCCACCCTCCTCACTGAATTACATCAAGCATCAGTCATTAAGGGAGGCCCTCCCTCTCCTCAGCCCCTGCCTGGCTAGCTCTAAGGTCTCTGGATATCCAAGCAGAAGGAAGGGCCTCCCCTTATAGGTCAATCTCATGCCCATAAGAGAGACTGGTGGATCAACGTTCTCGGCTCTAATGGATGCTCTATCCCATGAAGGGCACAGCACACATCTCACTGCTTTACCTCAGGGCTCAGTGTTTGGGGTTTGAATGAATGACATCCTGAGCTCATTCAACAAGCAGGTACAGAGGCCTCCTGTGTCCCCAGCTCTCCAAAGAGCAAACTCAGACACTATCCCTTCTCATGAAGTGGGGAGAGATCAGTAAACACTGCCTGGGATAATTCAAGAACCCAGTAGAGATCCTCTCAGATACTCATGGCAGTGTTATTCATAACCCAAAATATCCATCAGTGGATGAACAGATAAACAAAATATGGGTAGCCATACAACATAATATTATTCAGCCATAAAAAGGTATGAACCTCTGATCCACGCTACAAGGGTAAACCTTGAACACACTATGCTGAGTCAAAGAAGTCAGACATAAAAGGTCACCTGTCATATGATTCTATTTATATGCAATGTCTAGAATAGATAAATCCGTAGATATAAAGTAGATCAGTGGCTCTCCAGGGTGAATACAGAAAGGAGGCCTAAGAAGCCAGCATACTGACCCAACTCCTTGACCACCTGCCCACAACCCTGTTTCTGCTCACAGGTCTCCTAACCAGAATGAGAGAAGACACAGTCATAGGACCCAAGGAAAACCCTCCTCTCTTTGGAACCGAGAGTTCAGACTTCCTGATCACCATCAGGTTACATGCCTCCTCCCTTGCTGTTTGTGACCCTTCCCGCTCACTCTTCCTCACAGGAGATTGGTCACTGCCCCCAAACCACTACCAGAAGATTGAGAACAAACTCCCACTCACCCCTACACAGCCTATCAGACATTACTTGAGACAGAAAAGAGACATTGATCCAGGAATCCCAACTTTTAGCCATCCCAACATAAACAGACCTGCCTCCTACAAAACCTTTCCTTTCACCATAAGCCTCTCCTACCCCCTGCTGCCCACTGATCCCGTGGAAACAGAGGTCATTACAAAACTCTGCCCCTACCATCCCCTCACACTTCCAATACTTTATCCACACCCATGGGAACTGCGTCTCAGGAGGGTGGCCACTGCCCTTTCCTCTTCCACTTCACCATCCACTCCCCTTTGCCATGACAACAGAAACAGAGTCATAGTTCACACCACAGGCACCATCTCATCTCCATCCTAGCCCCATCTGGACGGGGGTTACCATGGGAACTGAGGCCTTGAGGAAGCCATGTCCAACCCCCAAGCTAAGGCCACATCCTTTCTTTATTCAGATGTTTCTCAGAAAAGTACTTGGGGCCTGACCCAGTATACTTGGTCTCTCCTTTAAGGAGTTCACATGTATTCATTCAAGTGATAACTTATTGAGCATCCACACTGGGCATGCCCTGATGAAGTGCTGGCAATATGAAAACAGTGGAAACAATTCCATGACAAGATCTCAAGCCTCTGTGCCCACAGCCATTTTCGACTCTGCGTTCTCAACAATCTTTCTTCTGGCTCAAGACTTGGTAAGCAACTCCACGATTTGAAGCTCATACGGCAGGCCCCTCCTGTGTTTCCCCTTGAACTCCGGTACCACTCACACCACCAACAAACCCAAGACTGTTGTATGGCTTGGAGCAAAAGACACTACAACCCTTATCAGACTTCAAAGCAAAGGACTGCAGAACTGGCCACTGGTTGCGCCCAAATGATTGGAAGTTGGAGTTCCTACAAGATGATGGAGTCGGATACGACCACTGATACCGTAAATATTCACTTGAACCCAGGATGCCGGGATCCTAGTCTCTTCTTTTTTCCTCCCTCATATCCAGAAGCCCGGGCCCCCAGCTCCCTCCTTCCTCAGACCCAGGAGTCTAGGTCCTCAGCCTCCTCTCCACTAAGATCCAAGAGTCCCCGTCCAGCCCCCTGCTTGAGACTCCTCAGCCCTCAGCACGCCGACACTCACCACGGTTGCCATGATGCTCACCAACCGCCAATATCCTAGCGGAAACGGAAACGCGCTAGGAACGAAGTGTTCTGGCCCCTCTAGACTGCCAAGTCATCCAAAAATCTCGGTGGTTCTTTATAAATATGCAAACTCTCCTGGTGGGGCGTGGTGTCACTTTTTAGGCCCCGCCCACGCGCCGAGGCCGCGTCCATTCCTCTCGCTTCCTGGCTCCTCCTCCTTTTACCCAGAGCCTCCTCGCTAAGGCGATTGCAAAACTCTTTTAACACTTCTTCGGGCAACCACACGTTCCCCACGCTTCCTTTCCTCCTTATCGACCTTCTTCCCTCCCACTCCAACTCTAGGGCCTCAAGCTTCGGATTGACAGGGTTGAAGGCCAATCAGCTAGCGCAGCAGCAAACCCCGTTCACCCGAGCTCCCTTCAGCTGTCGAGGCGGAGGCGGGGCCGAGCCGAGTGAACGCTACACTGTCCACCAATGAGAAGACGCGGGAGCCCCGCCCCCGGACGCAGACCAATGGCGTTGGCCGGGGGGGCGGGCACCGCCTCCTGGTGGCCGCAAGGTTTCTCTGCAGGAGCCCCAAGGGGCTCAGTGACGCTGCGGCCGCTTGCTGCCCTGGTCTGACCGCTCCGGGCGGGGGTGCGGTCGTGCAATAGGAAGCCGAGGGCGGTGCGAGCTTCCCGTCGGGCACCAGCTATCTGGCCCAGCGCCCTGCCCAGTGCATTCCTTCGACACCTCCGGGGCGCCCACCAGTGGCCCCCCGGAGCCCTCTAACCGCGTCGGCCATGCCTCTAAACCGCACTTTGTCCATGTCCTCCCTGCCAGGACTGGAGGACTGGGAGGATGAATTCGACCTGGAGAACACAGTGCTCTTCGAGGTGGCCTGGGAGGTGGCCAACAAGGGTGAGCAAACCGGGCAGAGGGACCGGACGAGACGAGCAGGCGGGGATGGGGGCCCGGAATATTGAGTAACAGCGTACGAGGCTGCATGGCATGATTCTTGGGTCCTGGGCAAGGAGCCTGTGACTCCTGTGCCCTTGGAGAGGGGCTGGAGTTTGTCTCCTGGGCCCTGGAGGGAGGGGATGAGTCGCGTAAGATGAAAGGAGCCTGGAAACCCAGGTCCTGGGTCCTAGGGGAGAGGGGGTTAAAATGAAAAAGACCAGAAGTTTGGGTCCTCAATCGGAAGAAGATGCCGGGGGGAGGGCTTGGCACTTAAGAACTGTGGCCCTAGGTGGGGAAGGATCTTGGGATGTAACTCCGGATTTGGAAGAGAGCCCACTTGGAGATGGGATGCACGCATCGTGGTGGGAGAATTTGGGGAATTGGTCATTTGAGAGTAAATACACGAGGAGGCTGGAGACCCTAATTCTTAGATCCTAGGGTGAGAGAGCATTGGGGCCTGGATGGCAGGGTTCTGAGTGCCTGAGCTCCAGGTTTGGAGGCATAGAGGAACCTGTGGCCTCAGACACATGCGCGCTGGATTGGGGGAAGACTGGGAAGTCCTAAATTGGTCAGGGGCTGGGCCCTGGGATGGGAGTGGCTGGGGGCCTGGATTTCTGGGTCCCAGGCTCCAAAGGGCCTGATATTATGGGTTTGTCTAGCTCCACAGAAGGAAGGAAGTTGGGATTTTGCATTGCTGAGTTTTGGGAGAGAAAAGGGGGCAGGGGGTGGCGGGGCTGCGGGTGTCTGCAAACATGGAGCCATGGATCGCCAGGGTCCAGGCTGCAGGGGGTAAGGAGTCTGGAATGGAGTCATGGGAGGGGCAGGGGCATGTGTGCCTGTGTCCCCATGTGGGGAGAGAGAACTGGGGGACAGGTCGGCAGAGTCCCTGGTGGGTGAGGGATGACAGCTCTGGCTTCTTTGGGACAACTGTGGGAACCTAAATGAGGCCATGAAGAGGGATTCTCCCTTATTGTGTCCTGGAGCCTGACTGGGAATTTAAACCCAGCTCCCTTAAGCTGGCAATTCAAGAACCTGGACCCTGATAACCCTTGTCAGCTTCTGTCCTCCTTGGCCCCAGCCCATAATTCTCTCACACCTGGGAGCCAAGGCCCCCAGTCCCTTCTCTCAGGCTCAGAAGTCCAGCCTGAACCCTCTCCTCCCTCCCAAGTCCTGACCCCAGCCCCCTCCTCCCATCGACCCAGGAGTACCATCCATCAACCCCCTCTCCCCTCCTCCCTCTGACCCTGAAGTGTGGGCTCCCAGTTCCCTCTTCCCACTGAGCCAGAGGTCCGGGGCTCCTGTGCACCTGTGCCTCTCCCCAGGCCCCAGATGTGTAGACCTCAGCTGGGGCCTGTCCTCGTGTACTTGGGCCCACAGTGGGTGGCATCTACACCGTGCTGCAGACGAAGGCAAAGGTGACGGGGGACGAGTGGGGTGACAACTACTACCTGGTGGGACCGTACACGGAGCAGGGCGTGAGGACCCAGGTGGAACTGCTGGAACCCCCGACCCCGGCCCTGAAGAGGACACTGGACTCCATGAACGGCAAGGGCTGCAAGGTGGGACATGGCCCTGCCGAGCGCGGGGTGGGGGCAGCGGAAGGAGAAAGAGCAGGGGGTGGACAGCCCCAGGGAGACAGGGAGGCCTGGATAGAAACTCAGGATGGCCCAGTACTTTCCCAGGCAGACACAGAGGAGCTAAGATTGACAGACACTCAGAGAGATACAGGACTCTGTGAAGTGAGTGGGTGAACCCCCAGCTCTAGGACATTGGTGAATAAACACAGACAGCAGGTACAAGACAGACTAAAACATGGCCCTAAGAGGAAGAAGCCAAGATCCTCAGATGCAGAGAGAGGAAAAGAGCTAGATGGACAGAGAAAACCTGGTGGGTGTGGGGTGGGGGTGAGGCAGGAGGTCAGAGCAGTTGTTCTGGAGCATGAAGTTCAAATTCATCTTCTCTGGGGACTTCCCAGGCAGTCCAGTGATTAAGACTTCACCTTCCAATGCAGGAGGTTGTGGGTTTGATCCCTGGTCAGGAAGCTAAGATCCCACATCCTTGGTTGCCAAAGAAACAAAACATAAAACAGAAACAATATTGTAACAAATTCATTAAAGACTTTAAAAATGGTTCTCACACACAAAATTCACCTTCTCTGCTTCCTCCCATGCGACCTTGACTGATGAACATGCTGATAACATCCACTGTAGAAATTTCTTGGGAGGATGAAATAGCTCATAAAAAGTCTTCAACCCAGGTCCTGGCATGCAGTTCACGCTGTCTGTGAGCTATTATCTTCGCGGTTATTATTATCACATCATTATTACTTAAAACAGCTTGCAGAGTGAGGTGGGCAGGTAGACAAATTAGATAGCTGATGGAGACGTGATGAGTGTCCCCAAAAGTGGTGGTGGCCCAGTGGTTAGGGCAACAGGGAAATAGAATCTAGATAGGAAAGAGAGGTAGCCTGATGTTTTAGAGAGAAGGGTCTCAAAGGAGAGAGGAAGATGGGTAACTGAGGAAGAGAGGCAGGCAGACCCAGGGGACAGAGTTTCGGATGGGTGGAGTTGGGAATTAAAAAGACAAGGGGGAGAGTGCCAGGCACCCAGTGAAGACGATGAGAACAGAGGTTAGGCAGCAGGGCAGGTTGGGTTCTGGGAGGGAGAGGTACAGGCTTGCCTTCATTCATTCACAGCCTCCGGTTTGGGATGGGGTCTGGAGTCCAATCAGGAGGGACTGTGTCCCTGAGGAACCCTAAGGCAGCTGCTGTCCACGTGCTGGGGGCCTAAGAATAGCCCCCCCAGCAAAAGGGCAGACAACAGCTGGGAGGGGGAGGGGCATCAGGGAAAAGCCACGTGGGGAGGAGTAGGGTGGCTCAGCCGGATGGAGGTGTGGCAGCAGGCCCAGAAGCTGGGCCACAGGAATCTGGAGGAAGCCAGCAGATCAGAGAAACGTAGCAGGGGGCAGAAATCCAACCTGGAGGCTTAGAAACACTGCAGCGGTAGCCCCAGGGTGTGGAAAGTGGGCGGGCAGTATTAGAAAGGAGGCTGCAGAGTATAAGATGGGCTGGGGGCAGGGGAGAGAGGAAGCAGGTGACATATATGGTGAAAGAATCAGAAACAAGGCAGCGAGAAGGGTAAAAAGAAGCAGCCAGTGAGCCACAGAAAGGAAAGTTGATGGGAGAAAGCTACTTGATGACTGGTGGGAGAAATGTGGCAGCGGGTTGGAGAAATGATCAGCAGGGTGGATAAACAAGGCAGTATGGGGCACGGAGACAGGACATGTGCAATGTGGGTTATAAGTAGTGAAGGGACACAGCCGTTATAGACACTAAGCAAGGGGGACTTTCCTGGTGGTGCAGCAGTTAAGACTCTGCACTTCCCACGCAGGGGGCGCAAGTTCAATCCCTGATCAGGAACTAAGATCCCACATGCTGTGCGGTGTGGCAAAATAAAGCTTTTGAAAAGAAAGAAATGAAGCAAGGAATGGGGTGAGATGCCACGGCCGAGATGAGAAAAGATTGTGGGAGGAATAACTAACAGCAAACGGAGAAATAAGGCCATGGGTGAAAAATTAGCAGCAGGTAAAGAAAAAGAAGGTAGAAGAACCCAGGCTATGAGCCCGGACATCTGCCTGGGGATGGGAGAAACACAGATGCTGTGTCTAGAGACAGGTGGCCAAGACCTTAAGCCTTCCTGTGTTCCCTCTGCAGGTGTATTTCGGGCGCTGGCTGATCGAGGGGGGCCCCCTGGTGGTGCTCCTCGATGTGGGGGCCTCAGCCTGGGCCCTGGAGCGCTGGAAGGGGGAGCTGTGGGACACATGCAACATTGGGGTGCCCTGGTACGACCGGGAGGCCAACGACGCCGTCCTTTTTGGCTTCCTCACCACCTGGTTCCTGGGTGAGGTAGGCCCCACTGTCCGTGTCACTGCTTTTGACCCCAGGTCCCAGATTAAAATGCCCATCAGCCCCTGGCCAGAGGGTTGCCAGGTGATCGGAGGGTGGTTGTTGTCTCTTCTGCCTGAGCATTCTGGGAATTGTAGTCCTTTAATCCAGGGATTAGCTCTAATCTTTGGGAACATGGACATCCAGGGGCCTAGATTCTTCTTTTCTCAGAGAGCCAATCTCAACTCCAGATCATTTACTCCAGTCTTCGAAATATGGAAATTGCAAGCCCCTAGCTCTAGAGGAGGCTGGCTTGACGGGAAGGCTCACCCCAGGGAATTCTGGGAGTTGTAATTCTCTCATCCCATATTGGGCTAGACTTGGCTTTCAGATGGGGCTCCGGATGTTTAGGAATTCCCAGCCTATATGAGAACCAGGAATCTTGTTACTGACCCTCTTTTAGGTTTTAAAAGGCTCAAGATGCTTTTTTTCCCCCTACACCTTGGGACATTTTATAAACTGGCTGCTTCTATGGCATCCTGGGAGTTGTAGTCTTTCAGCAAGTGTTGGGTACAGGTCTACGCTTGACTGCCATAAAGGGTCTCCAAGAAT